TGTAGTGTGCGGTGTGGGTGGGTGCGTGTAGTGTGCGGTGTGGGTGGGTGCGGGTAGTGTGCGGTGTGGGTGGGTGCGGGTAGTGTGCGGTGTGGGTGGGTGCGGGTAGTGTGCGGTGTGGGTGGGTGCGTGTAGTGTGCGGTGTGGGTGGGTGCGTGTAGTGTGCGGTGTGGGTGGGTGCGGGTAGTGTGCGGTGTGGGTGGGTGCGTGTAGTGTGCGGTGTGGGTGGGTGTGAGTAGTGTGAGGTGTGGGTGGGTGTGAATAGTGTGCTGTGTGGGTGGGTGTGAGTAGTGTGAGGTGTGGGTGGGTGTGAGTAGTGTGCGGTGTGAATGGGTGTGAGTAGTGTGAAGTGTGGGGGCCAGTAATAGATGCAGGTGTGAGTTGGGTGAGCTGTGGGTGTGAGTGGGTGTATTGTGAAGCGCGGGTATGAGTGTGTGACATGTGGAGGTGAGTAGTGTGAGATGCAGATATGGGTATGGGTGAGGTGTGTGGGGGTGTGAATAGTGTGAGGTGCAGGTATGTGTGGGTGTGAGTAGTGTGAGGCATGGGTATGAGTAGTTGTGTGATGTGCGGATGTGAGTGGGTGTTACTAGTTGTGTGGTGTGCAGATGTGAGTGAGGGTAATTGTGTGCAGTGCGGGTGTGATTGCAGCAGGGATAGAGCTTCACTTCTGCTCGCCCTGCTGGATGTTTCTTCACGGAGGGCACGCGTGTGCGGTCTGGCCTGGGACCATGTGACCAGGGCTGGGCAGGTGTGACCAGCCCTGATGGTGAGGGCTGCCCTCTCCTGGTGTCTGAAGGGCAGATGCACCGTGGGGTGGACCCTGGCGGTGAACTGGGCTGTGCAGGAGGTGAGGTCGCTTCTGTGGGGTCTCTGGATCCATCCAGGTGGTCCAACTGGGCGGCGCTGGCAGTTGGGGTCAGGGCTGAGCCCCTCCTGCACCTGCTGCTCTGCTCGTTTTAAGGTTTGACAAGAAAGTGGGGGTTTTAACACTGAAAGCTCCTCAAAAGATCAGAGCAGTAAGAGAAGGTCTGTTAGATCTTAAACCAGTGTAACTTTTGCAACTCCTGCTTAGGTAAGCAAACCCTACCGTTCAAATATAATAATAATTTTATTCTATGTATTTACATGATTTATTATTATGTAAATACTGATCTTTTTAACTCATGGGATGCATGTGCAAGTCACTCCGTGTTTCCTGTGAAGGGAAAAGTGAATGCAGACATGGTCCCAGACTGTCACTTGGTGTCAAAGAAGTTTGGAATCAGCCAAGATCACATCCCCATAGGACACAATCTGAAAACACTGTTTCGTAGAGAAAGAGTGTTGCCCCCAGACCTTTTCATGAGATTGTGAGAGGATGGGCAGAACTACAGGGAAGAGAAGGGAGGCTAGCACAAGGCCGTGGTCCCACTTGGAGGCCACAGGCCCTGCACAGGTGCAGACAAGTGTGTCCCAGCCTGACTGCATGGTGGAATTCCCCGGGAAATAGCGAAAGGCTGCTTGGGGTTGGAGGTGTGCCCTGAGCAGTGGGTGGGGCTGGGGCGTGGCCCGAAGCTGTGCAGTTTTCCGGAGCTCCCCGACTCC